GCTCCAGAACTTGAATTGGTTCCTTGAGTACTTCATGCATGCAACTATATTATTTGTGCCTTTGACAAACCATATCTATAAGGACTTGTCTCTCTACCTCAGTGCTTTAAACCAACAGGCTACACACATGAGCCCATGTCCCCAACGCACAGACTGCATAATTGCTCCACTGATGCGTGAAAAGGACCTCACTTAGCACTCAGAACAAAGACAGGAAAGTAGATTTCATTTAGCCCCATGCAGGATGTGTTTTCATTTGTCAATAGTGTTTGAACCTAGTTCTCTTTTGGCCACTATCCAATATAACCTGCTCTTCCTGACTGTTGCCATTTGTCCTAATGTGAATTACTTTTTTTTCTTTTAGTGTGCAATCCTAGTTGCACATTAAAAACAAAAACAATGCCAGTCAGCAATCAGATATTTGAAATTCTGCTGTCCAGCAACACAGATTTGGAGATAACAAAAATCAGCAACTACAATTATAAGAGTATTTTGGCATTGCTTCCACAAACACATTTTATAAATAAATTATACTTGGGTTTATTAGTTAATTTTAAAAGGCTCTTATTCTCAAAAGGAAGCTTTGCATGGAGAAATAGTTTCCTTTTTCACCAATTACCTATTAATGGTTTTGGAGGGGGATAAAAGTAAAGAAGCTGCAAGGATAAGATTAAGTATATATGAGAAAGGGATGATGATAGTATCTGTGTTATCGAGTTACTGAAAATTAAATGAGATAATCCACATTAAGCAATTAGAACAGTGCCTGACAGTAACTGCACAATGCAAGTTACGATCATTATCATCCCATCAACATCTGTGGGAATAAACTCAGAATTTCCTTATTTTTCCATTAAAATTTACTCAACAGATTCTTTTCTAAGGGTAGCATCTTCAGTATACAGAGAAGAAAACTCAATAGTTTCATGTTTTTGCCCTGTTTTCTGACATATTTTTGTGTTTTTATCATTTTACATATTGATCTGAGGAAACTTCTGACATTTATTTCTTAGAGAAGAAACTGAATAACTATTTTAAGTGTTCAACACAACCATGGACGACAGGCTAAGCATCTGTGGCAAGGCATCCACACATAAAGCAATGTTCTTCCCTGTCTGGCTGTCTCTAACCAGCTGTACCTGACAGCTGATCTTTGGGTTTGCAGAACTGAATCCCGAGGAGGGCTGAAACTCGTGCCTCTTACCAGGACTCTGTTGTTTTGTGGTAGTTCAGATAAATGCCGTGATGGGAAAACCTCAAACTCTTGGGTGGATAAACACCACGTATCTAGTCACTTTGTAAAAAGTCTCCAGAGCTCTTTACTTTGAAAGGATCCTGACATATGAATGACATTTCTGGAACTGACTGTTATCACTTAAAGCAGTGAATCTCTTGGTATCTTTAAGGATTTTCATGTCAGGAACTGGTAAAGGTTATGGGAAAGAAAGTTACATTCACATCAAGGAAGAAAACCAGAAACTAACTTTTTACAAAATGTGTTTATTTAGTTTACTTGTTATTCCTGATCTGGTTTCTGTAGGCATGTGGAGCCTTAATATGAGAGCAAGGAATCCAAACATCAGACTGCGGGTATGCTCAGCGTGACCTGTTGACCCTGCTTTTCTGGAAATGCTCTACTTTGTGAGATGTGCCGTGTTTCCCACTTTAAACAACTCAAGAGATACCTGCATTTGATATTTTAAACAAGTGCAAAGCAAATAGAGTACACGCTGGGCACAGGGACTGCATTGCCAAGGCTTGTCACATGTGAGGGACCTCAGACCCAGTCAGGGTCTGCAGAGTTCCTTCCCCCAGCAACTCCAGCCCTGTTCCATTAGTTGCCTTATCATTGGAAGGGGGTCATAAAATCCCAAGACCCTGGCCCTAATCCTGGTCTCTTGATATTGCTGCTAACAACCAATAGCTCAGTGGGTTAAGCAAAGACAACATGTCGTGCATCTCAATTTGCTTTGCAATATGCCTATCTTCTGGCCCCCAGCTGAGTTTACATCTCCCAGATTCTCCCAGTCGCAGCAATCTCTTTAACCTCACTGAGACAATGGCCTAAAGAACTAAAATACCCATGTTACTAAGCCAGCCACTTAGGAGGAGAATATTATTTTCTCACCAATAGTCACTTATGTAGTAGTGCTGTTTATGGGGAACACTTAAAATGGGGTTTTTATATAAAACAAACATTAAATAAATAGTTGTAGAATAAATGAATGAAACAATGAAGCAATACATTGATTTAAAAATTGATAAGTTGATAAATGTTTATAAATCTTTATATTTCTGGACTAGAATGAAGTTTTTTCCAAGGTATGGTCTAATAAATTATAAGCTCTGTTGGGACAGAGTGGTATCATGATCTTTTGCTGTTGTAGTTTCCCGACAAGGCCCATTCAAGTCCACTTGAATGGACACTCATTAAAAATGCACTAATTGAATAAAATTATATAAATTATACAAGATTAAGTTTTACAGCTTTAATTACCCACACGATACCTTTGTAAAAGCATATCTCCTCTGAAAAAAGTCATTTTTAAAGATAAAACCAAAATGAAAAGCTCATCAGAAAAAAAAATTCAGGCACATTTCCTGGGGAAATTATTCAGCTTTGCCTTAGGTTACTGAGCTTGTTCTAGAAATGTGATGGTCTGCAGCCGCACCCCTCATCCTGCCGCACCTTGACTCCTACCAGGAATTACCCTTTTGCTTAGACTGCTAGACAAATGAGCTTATGCTAGGATGGAAAGTCTTATTCTGGAAAAGAAAACTTCCTCTGTCCCCACTGACAGAGAAGGGTAAGGAAGGACAGCTTCGAGAGCCAACCCCTGATTCGGCTCTGACGGTCTACCATCATCATCCTAGATATCCTCTGCCCTCAGTGATTCAGAGCTTTTATTCTCTTCACACCATCGTTAATTAGGAAGTTGCTAGTAAGGGAAAGTGGGAAATCTTTCTGACTGCAATCTCTACCACCCATTTGCTATTCCCACGGGATTATGTGTCTACTGTAAATAGAAAAGGCTAAAGCAATTGTTGGGAGGCACATACTTTGATACAAAGCATTTGGGACCCAAATCATCTCAGTACCTGCCTCAGGGTTCCAAGTCAGTTTCCAGGTATAGGCCTGTCTCAGGGACAGACGGCCTCTGCTGGGCTGCTAGAAGCTGGCAACAGGTCAGCAGTGTGAAAATTGTGAATGTCCCCAAATGCCTGAAAAAAGGGAGTATCCAATTTTCTATCTGTTAGGCAGAAAATATCTTCTGACCAAATTTGGTGGAATATGTATGCCAAAAATCTTTCTTAATAATATAGGAGAAAAATAGATTTAAATGGCACGGGTCTTTTGGTGTGGAGGTTACTGCCACATCCAGCGGGAGTTTGGAAGCAGCCAGCAAAGCCGTAGCAGTAGCAGAGAGGATTGTTGGGAAAGTCTTTCCATGCCAGCCATCAAGGTAGCAGTGACCGCTTCTCGCTCTCACATGTGGTGCTCATGAGAACTGAGTAGGGTACTTTGTGTTCAATTGTGAAATGAAGCAAATGGCTAGGCAGATTTTTCTTACCAAACAAAACTCATGTATTAGAAATATATAGGTGAGTCCCTTATTATCATTTTCAAAAAGTTCAAGCAAATGGTTCAGCCTTAATAAATGAAATAGCTTGTTCATCTTTGTAACAGATCTGTTATTTTCTTGTCAGTTCCGGGTTAATGTAACTACATATTCTTTCCACCCTTCCCAATGACACATCAGTGTTGGCAAATGTCTCCATCACTCAGGGCAGGGAACTGTAAATGCATTGCTACCTGCCAGACAGAATAGTTTCAATGAGCAACAGCTGCATAGCAGCATAGATTGCTTACTACTTCCATGACAAAAAGCAAGAAATGGGGGGAAAATTCTAGGTAAATGACTTGAGATTAGGCAATGAAAGTCAGAATTAGCCAAGTTTCTCTTTGGAGCTCACAATTCTAGCAATTATTTTCATATATATGTGTGTATAAATAATAACTATAAGCACAATTAATGAGGCCCTATTTTATTTCATTTTAAATGTGGCAGCTGGGTACTAAGTGACAGAGAAGCAAAATTAAAAGGGAAGAAAGATTTTCTGATAACCAAATATGTAACGATAGATTAAACTGAACCACGCAGGATCCCCGCCTTTCAGTAGTGAGTTCATTTATGTGTCTCCTATTTTTATGGAGGGAAGAAAACAGGAGAGCTCCAAGACAAGGAGTTTCTTATAAAGCTATGTGTTGCTATCAGGTGGCAAAGAAATTTAGAAAACAAAAATTGTTGTTATTAAACACTCTACATAAAACTGTTCAGTTTTATCTCAACTGGCCGCCAAGGTATTGAGTCTCTGAGATGCTGCTGGGAGCTAAAGGACCAACACTGGATCATTTCAGGAAATGTGACCCAGTTTCATTGAGCACCACTGTTGGACAGAGAGGCTAGCTGCAATTAAACTCACTTTCCAAGCACTTGATCAAAGAACAGCGAAATTAATCAATCTTGAAAGAAGATAAGGTAATTCCTATTGATGAAATTATTTGCTGCTGGGCAGTCTGTTCTAAGCACAACCCCGTTCGTGGCTCCTCCTCTCAATGTTTCCTCGGAAGGGCTATTTTTACCTATTTTTGCAGAAATGCTCCTTCCGCACCCAGGAGTGAGTAAAAGGGCCTGCCAGGCTTCACTGTTCTGAGGAAGGAGGAGAAAACTGCTAAAAGGGCCTTGACGACGGGGCTTGGCACGACTTTTGCTCACATATTCAACACTTTCACAGAAACAACACCAAAGATTACTTGAAGCCTAATACCTTATATCCAGCCTCAGACCGAAGAACTTTATTTTCATTTTCATTTTTTTTAAGCTAAAATGTTATCGAAAACAAAATTTTCTCAACTAGCTGCTTCGGAACAATATACTATATTACGAAGCTCCGTACATGTTAAATGTTTTTGCAATCCTGACAGCATGGAATACGTCCCCCACTTTTTCCTTTGAATTTTGAGACTGAAACCACTGTCTTCCTTCTCCAGGCTCCCCTGCATCGAGACCAGGTTGCTGGGCGGAAGGAACCGCGAGAAAAGTGCACGAGAAGTGAGCGTGGACGACAGGGTGACGGGAGCCTAGGGGCAGAGGGTGGCACTGACTCAGCCAACGCTGTTGCTTCGAGGTCCCCCCGGGCAGCCAGCCTCAGGCCGGCCAGGCCAAACAGCAGGAAGAAGGGCTGTACAACGGGTCCCCATGAAACATGCTACTAAAAAAAGGTGCAACGAGAACCAAGTCCCTGTGCGTTCTTAGTCACAGCTGTGGGCAGAAGAACCCATGTGATTCCTCCCTTTGGTATTAAATAACAGTTTTTAAAAAGCTTTTTAGAAACAAAGCAAATACATGGCGGGACTGGAAATGTTAGCCGTCCCAGGTTAGTTGTCCACTGAAATAAGTCTCATCCCTAGTCATAAATAAATAATCTCTTTCCTGGTCTGACTTCCACGCCAGGATCAATATCTCTTAACATCTTACTTATTTTATTACTGCTTTTGGTTTTCTGGGACTGATTGAAAGTTGCTCAGAGGAAATCTTTGGTTTTGCTTAAGTGTCCGTGACATTTAATCATGACTTTCCTTGCAGTTTAATTCCAACCAGTCAATCAGTTAATCCACTTCGATTGATTCTGGGCTCTCGGTTATTGGCTTGCACTCATTGGGCATCCGCTGGTGTCGGCTCAGCTGGGTGGCCTGCGTGAAGCTCCTCTCACACCTCTCGCACCTGGTGGAGGCAAGAGAGAAAATTGAGACCAGGGAGCGGGGCCTGCAGGGTGATGGGCTTCCTCTCATCCTGCCTAATCAGAACAGACACTCCAAAGTGGCTTCAGATTTTACTGGCTCAAGAGGTTTAATTGGTGGCTCCTTCCAAGGCCTGGATGCCTGTGATGGGACAAAGCCCGTCTGATGCAGAACAGAGGGATCTGTCAATAGGCAGGGGAAGGTGATTTCTCCAGAGAGCCCTGTCCTGCTGCAGCTCTGATCACTGTCAGTTCAAATAGATAAAGAACAAAAAGAGATTTTTAGGAGTGAGCCATCAAAGCAGCAGCTTGTCTGCAGTTTTCTGCTCTGTAACCCCAAAGAGAAATTGATGACAAATAGAATTTCACCTGCTGCTAATTCACAATAGGGAATTCTACTCCCCTCAGCACCTCAGCCCAAGAGCGATCACCTCGGAATTGGGGAACTAGAGGAAGCAGGACATGAGTCTGCGGTGCCTATGGGGCCGGGCGTGGCGGCTGTGGTTTTTGCAAAAGCTGGTTACGGTGTCACAGCCTAACAATTTACACACTGGGGGTTTGCGGTGGAGTGGGGGGAGCTCAGAAAAAGCAGAAATCAATGGATATTTGTGTGGTTTAAGAGTGTCACCTCTCTAGAAAGTACAGTAGAAATAACAGACATGTGGCCCACAGCTAAGGGCCAGTGTGTCTGACGAGGACAAAACTTCACGCTTCAACATTATCTCTTCTTCTTAACTTAAAATAGAGCAAAAAGACTGTCATCTAGAGACGCGAGGCCGTCCCTATCTCCCATGTCCGTGTCTCCCACACAACCCTCCCTTACTAGCTCGGTGCTACCCCGTCTACAGAAAACACACACTCGCTCAAAATCTAGTGGGGGCCTGCAACTTTTCTGTGGCTGTTATTCCTGGCTGATTGTGTGTGACTGCGTGTGACACGCACACGCACAGATGAACTGTGGCAGCAAGCAGGACAGACGGTGACTGGGCCTTGGCCCAGCTCCTGTGAGGGCCCGGCAGCCTCCTCAGCTGCCCCCAAAAGTCCTTCCCTTGAGCCTTTGAAGGAAAAGACATTCAGGAGGAGCTGCAGACAACTGTCCCTCTTTTAAAGCACGCAACCCCCAGCCGTGGGCCCCTGCGCTACACACGAAGGCAAAAGCCACCGTGAGCAAGTCCCCGCTGCCTATGACAATCGAGGAAGCCACCTGTCCTGTTATCTGGCAGGCATTCCTCTTTCTCCTCTTTAGTAAATTATATAGAAAGTTCCCTGTCATGGAAATATTGACCTATAGAAACAGCCCACATCCACCCACCGTGGGGATTCCTACATGCTTGGACACCGGCAGGCAGGAGCTTGGGTTCTCAGGGCTCCTGCCCCGGCTGAGTGTGTCAGGGGGAAGACGGTGTGTTTCTTTGACTGTCTTTCGGGGAATATTTTTAGCAGCCTGTTCCACTGTTAAAAACTGCACTGTGATCTTGACAAATGTATAATGTCAGCTTTAATGTATCAGACCTATCAGCTCAATGAAAATAACTCAGAAGTATTGATCACCTAATGATTTTTGGTGTGTTCATTAACGTCCACGGGCAGCTCATCCCCTCTCCGAGCTCCCGGGGTGCTGACGCCACGTTAGCGAGCTGCTGATTGTTTATTAGAAAACTGATTAGTTACTGGATTAGTGTGTCAAAATATACTACCTTTCACTGCTTGACAAACTTTCAAGTTATTATATTCTGGTTTTTGTTTTTTTTTTTTTTTAATTTTGAAGCACTAGAATCAATTTCAAAGACAGCAGAATAGCTGGGCCAATTGTGAGGAATGAAAATTTACCTGGGTCACACTTCTGCATTTCTAATCCTGTGTCTTAGAACATAAGGAATTTGTGAGTAGGAAGCTTCATATAAGGCAGAAGTGTATGTCCACATGTAAGGTTTGAACATTCAGATTAGACAAAGACATTAAGAGGAGAGTTACATTTTCCTCAAGTGTTTGCCTAAATGCCTCACAGATATGTACATGCACGGAACAGTTCGTTGTAATAGTCAGGAAATTTGTCCAGTATATAGGGCACAAGAGATTATTCCTAAAAAATCATCTCTAGTGCCATCTGCCCACCAAGTGTGAATAAAAATACAGCAGATGTTTGGAAATTGCCTTCATTTACATCCTTATCCCAGAAATTTCCCCTTCTTGAGGTAAGTGGGCTACTAGAAGTAATATCTATGTGGTTTGGGAATTGTAAGAATACATATTTGGGGAAGACAGCGAGATATAAAAATACTCTTTTAAAATAAGGAAAATGCCTCAGTTTTTTATGTTCATCATCTTAAACTTTAGAGAAATCTCCACAAAATATTTTCCTAGCTTAATGAAACTCATCAGAAGAACAAACCCAATCCAAGTACCTAGGTTCATGAGATCAGAGCAGGACTTCACCTGGGTTGGTTGGCATTTAATTGACCCTGAATTACAATTCCAGGCAAGGGACTGGGCACAGGCATCTCTGAGCCTAGACTTCATAAAATGGAATAGAATCAGAGGAAAGAAAGAAGCAGGGATGAGGCAGGAGGAACGCCACGCTCTCGCACGCAGGTCTTCGTGTGTCTTCCTTCAGCCCGGGTGCTCACGTCACAGCCTTGACGGGAAGGAACGTCACGGGAACGCTAAAATGGAAAGTCTTCCAAATATTTCGTCGAAGAGAAGGTCCCCAACGTTCTGAGAGTCTCAGTTAGACGTGATCTCTTTTTAGGTTTGAGATCATTCTTCACTTCCTACAGTAGCTGACGAGATTATCTGCACAGGGACCCTAACAAAACGAAGTAAACACGAGAAAAGCTTTCTGTGCTTCTACAACACGCCCAAAAATACTTTTTGAATTGGACCAAATTGCATGGGGCTTCGTATGAATGATGTGCTCAATGCAGATTTGCTCTTTGGATTTGCTTTGATTTTTGCCTACATCTTGTGCATACAGATGTCCTCTGGAATTTCCTTTGATTTTTAAATACTGAGCCAAACCTCCTTTGCTTGGAAGGAAAAACATAGTGATGAATATTCCCCCCGCTTTTAACAAAGATGAAGAATCCCTCCTATGGAAAGTCCTGGTGGTTCCTGCGGTTTCTCCGGCTCAGAAGCCAGGCATCCGGCAGCTCACACAGATCCTCCCAGGCAGAGCAGGGAAGCCCACCTGAAATCTTGAGAGGCTGTGTTCAGCAAGAGAAGGAGAAAGGAGTCTTCACTGTGAAGAATGATTCTTTGGACTGCTTCCTTCTTTCCTTCCTTCCTCTCTCCTTCCCCCCATCCCTTCCTTCCTTCCTGTACTAAGGTGCTCGGACATTGCTGTGCAGGGAAATGATGTCTTGCTTTTGCTCTTTGTTCTCCATGACTTCCAGTCTCATAGAACAAACTCAAAGCCAAGACCTTCAATACGATCCTCTGATTTTAATTTTTCCTGTGTGCTCCTTTACCTTAGAAATTCCAAGTCTAGCACCCAGGTTGGCTGCTGACAGGCCCACCTAGACCGTGGCGGATGAATTCTTTCCGTGGGATTTCAGCCAAGCAGACTAAGAGGCAAAACCTAGACTGAAACTCTGACCTCTTAATGCCAAAGTTTCTCCAGCCTGCCTTGGATGGCAACAATCTCGACCTGCCTCACCAGCCTCTTCTCAGCAGAAGATCTTAGAAGTCAGAAAGGGCTTTCCCCTGGCACAGCAGGATCAATCTCATGCCACCCCCAAGAATTCTGTGAAGGCTTCCTGAGCCCTGGGTGTGCGGGACAATTTGGGGACTGAGCCACCTGGGGCAGGGCATCTATTTGGAAGCTGTCCAAGACATACAGTTTAGGGTTTTGCATCTTTATAAGATTCTTCTCCTCCTTTGTAACATTGTTTAAGCCAACACCCATTAGTTGAAGTAGTAAAATTAACTGTTGTGGTGAGACTCATTTTATTGACTAATCTGAAACAAAAGTTTTTTTGAATGTTTGTTTTATAAGCTTGTAAAAGGAGATCTTCATAATATTTACAAATGTCCCTGGGATGGATATCCATGAGCTATGGTTGGAAGATTCCCAAAACTCCCTTGGGACAGATCAATTCCGAAAGACCTGGTTGTATACACTAAAGAATTTAACTTTCCATTTTCTAGAAGATGTTTAAATCTTGCACTTTCAAAATAAGCATACACTCAGCTCTCCCCTGGGAATATATATTTGATAAATTTTAAAAAACTATAGCATGTGGCTATCTTGATAAGAAGAGGAGCAGAAGGAACTAAAACAAGTACATAAAATATAATCCAACAACCCTAGCTGTTTCCTTATTTATTTTCCAGATGAAATTAGATATGGTCACAAAAAAACCACTTTTGAAAGGAAAAAAAATGTAATCAGCAAAGCCCTTCAAATATTAATCTGATGAATTAAAATTAAGTTAAAATGGCATCCGTATTGGAAACATGCCAAAAACAGGATGTTAAAGAAAAAAAATTGGGTGAAGTCAACGAGGTTACACATAAGTAACACCTTAACATTAATAGAAATCTATTTCCCATTTTGACCCTGAAACCTCTTCAATTAATTACTAAAATCTATTTACACAGCAACAAGATAAAAATCAATCTGATTCCTGGCACCATATCCGTTTGGCTGCCCTTTCTAATGCAAGGGGCCGGGCAGACCCTCAGCCCTCCCGAACCTCTGCTTTTGCAAAGCTCTCTTGCTCAGAGGCAGGGCACTGTGCATTGTCACCTTCCGCCCCCAGAGCAGTGGTGAAGCCCCTGGGGTCAGGCCTGAGGGCGATGACAAAGTCCACCAGGCAGGACACAGACAGTGTGATGGGGAACTCCTAGGACTGTGGTAGCCCAACTGGCCCCTTAGGGCAGACGAGGAAAAGGTGCCCTCTTTGGGCTGCCGCAGCTCAGGGGGACAGCGTGGTTGGCAGAGAGGAGACTCGATTTCAGACTCCATGCTACCCCCTTAGCCAGATGCCTTTATGTAGTGCACGAGCTGTGCCTATGTACACAGACCAAAGCTATCACTATTTTGATTATAAATATCATAAATTAAGCCCTGATGGAGAACAGTAAAGAATGATGAATGCAGGTAACTAATGCTTGGGGAAGTGAGGGAAGATGACAGCCTTTCATGAGCTCTCCCGGCACCGGCAGACACAGAGGCAGGCAGGACCCAGACCACAGGACTCTGCACCCCAGCCGAGCACGAGAGCGCGCACCACGCAGGCCCAGAGGAAAGTCCTGGGTGCTGAGACTCCGGGGAGACTTCTTGGCTGAGACTGAGCTAGGGAATTGGTCTCCTTCAGCCTGAATCATTTCTTCTCTTGCTTGATCTTGTCCTACAGAAGGTAAATAAGGCCATATTTCTATGCCCTTTTAATTTTCCTTCTCAAACAGGGAAAGCCAGTATGGCAAATGAGTCAAGGGAGATTTAAGACGATTGAATAGAAAACAGTTCATCACATAGACGATAAAAACTGCTCTGAGACTACCAGTCATGCGTGCTGGTTCACACTCCAAGCCTTTCCACATGCTATTTAGACTGCCAGAAATACCTCTTTCCCCTTGTACGTCTGGAAAACTCCTACTCATCCTTCAAAACATTTTAAACATCACCTCCCACAGTTAGCACTGATTAATCCATTTCTGTGCTACTCTCACACCTTGTATGTACATGTCTTGTTTTTGTACTTTCCAGCCTATAATGCTTATTAATTGGGCTTCCCCTTAGACTATGAGATCTTCAAAGATGGGGCAGGGGAGGAGGGGCTAAGTCTCATTCATGTTTATATCTCTTGTACTTAGCGGGGTGCCTAATACAAAAGTAGGTGCTCAGTACGTATTTACTGAATGAATGAACACATGCATAATTGGATGAGTAAATGAATGAACAAATGACCAAATGAACAGGCCACCTTGCATGATTGCAACATCCACTGTTTTGATGACTGTGCTAAATGCAGAAACACATTCTCTCGCTCAGATGTCCTTACCTTGCCAAAGCCCTCAGAATTCCGTTCCACCTCTTTCCACATTCCCTGAATCCTCAAAAAGTCCATGTACCCTGTGTTTGGTTTTGTTTTTCTTTTTTCACCAACATGGTAAATCTGATGTCCAAAGTATATGCTGAAAAGTCACAAGTTGGCTGCTACGATGGGTTCAAACTCTAACACACAGGCAAAAGATGGGAACAGTTCCCCAGAATCCCAAAGGGTTTGAGGTCTCCAAGAGGGGATTACTCAGATGTCCTAAACTTGCGGGCACCTTTATGATGGTACCTGGGCTTGCCAATGGCTATTAGAGCTCTGTGTGGCTCCTAGATAACATTCTAGAAGCACAGACCCTCAGGAACTGGAAAGAATACCGAAATTATTTATTCCTACCTCCTTAGCTTAATGATGAGAAAACAGACCCAGAAAAGTCATCTCATGTCCAAGATTGGGAAACTTGAGCCAAGACCAGTACATAGGTTTCCTGATGTCATTTTCCAAATGTCAGCCACTAAGCAAGGACATTCTTTTGCAGCCTGCACCTTGACCTGCTAAGTAGCCTTCTCCACCACCTGGCTGAGCCAGGCAGCGCTGTGCCGAAGACGGAGAGAGGGTGGAGGGCTAGCCACTACTTACTTGAAGGGCTTTTCTCCAGTGTGGGTTCGGATGTGGTTGTTGAGGGTGGTGGCCCCGGCAAAGGCACGACCACAGTAGCCGCACTTGAAAGGCCGGTCACTGGAGTGAGTGACCACGTGGTTCCTCAGCTCTGAAGGTTGGGAAAAGGACTGGGAGCAGTGACCGCATTGGTAGGGTCTGAAACAAATAAAGAGACTGCCTGGTCATTATTTCCTCCATTGGTCAGTGGAAGTCAGAATCATGAGACAAGGGCCAGAACTTTTTGGCGACATTTTCTCAGTTTTTAAGACAGAGCATGGGGCTTTGGCCACTGGGTTCCCACTACTTTTCTTGTTGCCACAAGAACAAAATTTACAGAGCTGCTGAGACATACCAATTCCTGAATGATTATTCTTTTCTAGCACTAACCATGCTGCTTCAGGAACCCCTGCTTTCCTGTTCTTCTCTCCCCCGAGGCAAATATTAGTGTAGTTTCGTGAGCACTGACAAGTACAGACTTGCTTAAGCAGAATGTTACAAGAGAAAATATATAATTGTCTCTTATGCTTCCATGGCCCTTTTAACTTTTCGAAGTGCTTCAAAATCAATTATCTAGTTTAATCTTCACAATAATCCTCTGGGACAGGGAAAGCAGCTGCTATTATCTCTGTCAGTTCAGAAAACTGAGGATAAACTGTCCTCAGAGGACAGAAGCTCTTAACGCTAAGGTCATTTCAGGGTGTCTGGACCTTATTCTAAGTACCAGGTAAGCAAGCAGGCAAGTGAGCAAGCTACACGTGCATACTATAAATACTAAACTGCCTTGGGGTCTGTCTGCAGCACAACTCTGGCCTCGCACAGGTGAACACGGATGTGCACCTACATGTGTGTCTTTGTAAAGGAAATCCTGACTTCCACTTACTGTTCCCCCCTCCATATATTTATCCATTGGGTCTTTTTCTTGAACCTCAGCGCTCTAGTTTAATCTAGTAGCACGGAATGATTTACAGCAGCACAGAAATGACAGGATGTCACTATGCTTGCAGAAGGATGACTGTGATGCAAAAGCAAATGGAAGGAAGTTGTGACAAATACCTGATAATTAGCAAGATTATCAGAGCACATTCTTTCCAGCTCATGAGAAGTAAATCAATTTTTGGTTTTCATAAAATAGATTAAAATTCTGTCTTCCCTACAGAAGTTCTTCTGCTTACTTAAGCAGAATCTGGTGAGTGATATAAAACCTGGGGACTTTTCCCTATTCGAAGCTATTTCATATCATTCCTTGACAGGGCTCTAATTTGTTTATCAAAAATTTTGTTCATACAATTACTAATCTGTCATGAGGGATATTAACAGCATCCACTAAACCCTGGTTTGTGGGCCAGACATTTCTGGGCTGCATTTAGAAACCAATGGTGAAAATGGACTTAATTGCTCAAGCTTTAACAAATGTATAAGCTCCAGTGACCAGAAACCAAAATGAAGGGGCAGGAGACAATAGTGACCGAGCATGTACAACAATTCAATTAGGTGCAAAATAAAGTGTACCCTCTCATTTGTCAAGTGAACTGCTTAATTGTGGCTATTTGCCTCGCTGAACACAAATACTATTATTTTACCAGGCTTCAATACACTGAGTTCTGATTGTAGAATTTTTTAGCTTGATTAATAGTCCAGGATTGGTCAATAACTCAATGCTATACAATTTTAATTACTTACATTTAGAAATCTATCTAACTGCTCTCAAACAAGTTTTAAAGAAATACATAAAAGTCTCTGGTAAGGAGTTTATCAATCTTGACAAATTACACATTCATTTTATTACAATTATAAAATAATGCTTTAAAAGCCATTAAAATTATATGTAGATGAAAACGTCTTCTTGCCAAATCTGTTCTTTGTGGTAAACATTAACCTTAAAGGGTTCTTCAAAAGATAATCTCTCAGGGGTGAGCTTTTAAAAATGTTATTGAAAATTATAAACAAAATAATATATTAATATATGCTATATCCACTGACAATTGATTTTTCTAATAGTGAAGGGACCATTAACATTTATTAGCCTCTGGTTATCTATTTTTAATAGCTATCACAATAAACAATAAGCCACTAAATAAAACTAATTAATCTTTTCTTTTTTTTTCTAACTCTGCTGTCAAAAGTTGGGGTGATTTATTTCTTACAGTCAGAAGTCAATCCATCCTTTTTATGTTAATAGTCACAGTGGCAAAGATTTATACACAGAGGAGCAGAAATGACCACAGAGAGGCTTATGCTGAACTCTTATAACAAGGTAAAACCAAAGAAAGGAAAATGGGATTCTAAAACATCATCTTTGCCCAGCACCAGCCTGGAAGGCACGTGCTAGGGACCCAGTGACCTATGTGGCATGGTTTTTAAGACTTTGCAGAATTCAGCTTGACTGAATGGAAGGGCCTAGAACGGTAGACATAAGAGAGGTGAGTTCTACTTTAGCACCTCAGCCCGATCAGCTGTGGGACTTGGACAAGCCACTCGACT